AATCCCAATTATATAATCCCTTTTCTTGGGAACCTCAAACTTTCTTGGAATACCTGATCCTGTTTTCTTTCATCTCAGTTGAGGCTATTTGTCCTACCATTGGAGTTTGGAATTCCATTTAGATTGTCCCTTCAGGGGCCAGGATTTGTTAGGGGAAATTTTGGGTGCTCTTTGATAAACAGATCCAGAAGAAATGTGCCTTGATCTTCAAAGGGATTACCTTTGGTACAGGGACCCATGGAGAAAATCTGTGGAAATGTTCACCTAGGACTTTTGTCCAAGCTGCAATTAGCATGGGCTCTTGCACCATAAAAAAATATGAAACAGTTTTCACTTAAGACAGCTTGGTTTTTTTTACCTAAATGTTAAGGGGGTGATTTTAGTAGACTTTTAAAATCACAGCCACTCTCCATTACTGACTAATTAATTATAGGTGAGTTGTGTTCTTCATTGGTAGAGAAGGTAACGTCACCAACAAAATCACTGAGCAGAAAGAGTTTGAGGATAAAGATGATGATGTCAAAGAAAGTGATGAACATGAGATGGCACCAATGTGTCAAGAGCCTGCTAAGATGTGGTGGTAGGGGCTCCCATCTGTCACATTGAAGAGCTTATGCTATTCACTTGAGCTTACGTTCTATACGTGAAAATGAAGTATAGTAAGTTACCAAGCAAAAAAGAAAAAACCTAAGGTGTTTCAGAGGTTAAGGACTTTGGGTAAAAATTCCCCTTATCTAGTCATGCCCGACTGACTCCATACCTGGGTTAATGAACTTATTTCCATTTAACATGCCTCTCAACTTGGTGCCTACTGACCCAAAAGACCCATGCTTTATGTGATTCTCCCCACTGTGTCTGATCCAAGTAGTTCCCTTAACCATGTCAGCCTTGCCTTAGCCCTCGTATCTTCACCTCCTACTTCCTCTGGCTCAGTGACAGTTATGGCTCATCTCCACTCTTCCACAATCCCTACGAAAAGTACTTGCCCACAGCCCCTTATGGGTCTCCTGATACACAAGACACGTCTCACTTTAAAACCTCAAGGATTTGCAGAAGCAGCAAATAGGGTTCGAGTTGTGGGAACACCAAGACAGAAATGAAAATATTGGAGAAAAAATCAACCCTGACATCTGACACCAGGCAGTGAAACATGTAGGTGCTAAGCGTAATCCAATCCCCTCGCCCCAGCTAAAGTAAATTTGAAAAAAATGTTGTGACTGCATACACTTTTATCAAGTGGGAACAACTCTATCGGTTCAGTCAATGAATTAAAGACATCAAACAACTGTAAACAAAAGGGGAGTGCAAGTGGGATGGTAGTGTGGGAGAAGGTCACAGTACGGCGCTGGACTGCTGGTGAAGAGGGGGAGCTGATCTGGGAATGGAACGGCTGATGCCAGTCAAGGACTTGACACCAGGGTTCCATGTTCCACTGCCTGGTATCAGGTATCAATGAGGATTATGGCTGAAAATTGGGAAAGAAATTCTTTTGTTCACTTTATCCTTCTTTGGTGCAAATTCTCTATGTAAGAGGAGCTCTAGAGCCATTCTCCCGCTCTCCTCCTTCTCCCCCTGGCAGCTTGTGTTCCCAGGTGGGAATTACTAAATTTCTTCTCAGGCTTTGGGGTGCCTGAAGACCCTGGGGAGAAGATTCTGGTACTACAACTCATGAGTTCTCAACAGTGGCCATTTCTCCCTATGACTATCAATTTATGTCAATTAACCAGCAAGACTCAATGAACTTTAAGAAACTGGCATTTACTAAGGTCGTGTAGTAAGGAGAGTTGGTACAAAACGTCTCCCCAAACAGAGCATGCTCTCCCATAAGCACTTACAGAATCCAAGCAAGGCTTAGAACATTTGGCAAAGGGAGTAACTTAACAGCTAATTCTTTTCTCCTCTCCTGTGGGCTCCTTCTAAAACCTGGAAGCAGCTCTTTCTTAGGGTCTCCAGCTTGTCCTTACTCACAAAAAAAGACATTGCTGCCATTTCAGAGATATTGCTAGGACTCCAAAGAGAAACCCAAATGCTCTGACCGTCTGAAGTTCACGAGTTTGGGAAGGAGAGAGACGGAAGCTCTTCTTACCCTCTCCCTCAGCTATTTAATCTCAGAGACTTGGCTGCAGCTACTCTTTCCTCTAAGCTGCCAAATACTGGAAGGCCCATGTAGAAATATACTATTTTGTAGATAATTCACAAGACAAGCTAGGCTGTACTGTAGTTTGATGCCTCTGGTTTATTGACTGAGTTAGTAGAGATGTTCCCACTTGATAAAAATGTCCGTAGGTGCAATATTTTGTTGTTTACTTTAGGTGGGATGGAATAGGAGAATTGGTTGAATAGATTCTCCCCATTACAATTATCATCAACAGCACCTTTCTTTCACAAGAGCACATCTTGGCCTCTCCACCAGATCCAGCAGATCTTGGCAAAGCCAATGGTCTGTGACGCTTGCCAACTCAAAGATGCATTTCTCCAAATGTAACCAGGTTGGTGACTAGATGACAGTTTACAACCCATCACTGAAGGCATTCCAGCTTGGTAAGGCCTCATGAAGCCTCAGTTGTTCTAGCTCTACCTTTGGGAGCCCACAGTCACCTGTATGATGCTGCTAGGCATTAGGGGAAGATGTCAATGGAAGACATAGATGTTGTTGTTGTTCAGTCATTTCAGTTGTGCCTGACTCTTTGTGACCCCATTTGGGGTTTTCTTGGCAAAGATACTGGAAAGACATTGGTTTGCCATTTCCTTCTCTAGCTCATTTTACAGATGAGGAAATTGAGGCAAACAGGGTTAAGTGATTTGCCCAAGGTCACACAGCTAGTAAGTGTCTGAGGCCAGATTTGAACTCTGGGAGGTGAGTCTTCCAGACTCCAGACCTAGCACTCACCTAGCTGCCCAGAAGACTGGTTACAATCACTATACAATAGACTATATCTAGGAGCACCTTTAGGATTCAGAGAAGAGAATGTCAGTGCTCTGAGATACAGTGGCTATCTGGTCCAGCCCTTAATTTTACAAACAGGGAAACTGAAACCCAGACAAAGAAAGTGAATTTCCTCAGGCCATATAGCTAGCTAGTGATCAGCAGAGTTCGGATGAGGGTGATGCTGTTGCCAACCTCCCAAACTGTGGGGTTTTTAGGATTGGAATCATGTCTTCTCCCTCTGGTTTACTCCCCTCTTGGGGTAGATAGCACTAATATGAATGTATCTATTTTATGTATTAGCAAACTGCTACTTAGAGACCTTAAGAGACTTGCTCAGAGTCACATGGATAGGTGGGGGCAGAGCCAGGTCTGGATGTGAGTGTTCTGACCTCTAAGTCTAGAAGGAGATCTCTGATCTTCTTCCAACACTCAGTGTTGCCTTTATTTCAGTTAACACAGAGGCTTCAAATCCTTCTGGTGCTGCTCTATGCCTCTGAGAGAGCATTATCCACTCCTGTTTAAAAGCTCGTCGACGGCTGGGCCGTCTGCATTTTCCTACCACTTTTGGAATCAAATACAAGCTCGGCCTAGTGTTGTGGGCAGCAATTGGCCAGATACTGGCCAGATTACACACTTCTGAGTTCCCTTACAGCTATTTGGCTCTCCCCTCGCTCCTCACCCCGTATATAATACACTAGTCAGGAGAGAATCAGGAGTCAGAGTCTTAAATGGATCTGGGTCCTAGCAGACAAACAGAATAGGTTAAGGAAGTTATCGCTCAGAACCAGGCCCCATGGAAGTAGAGGTGGCCCCTGAGGTGAACCTTCAAGGAATCTATGGACAATAAAAAATACAGATAAAGGGACATCAAATTCTGGGCGCGGGAACCAGCCTCTACAAGAGAGGTAGTGGGACAAATTTGGGGAAAAGCTATGAAAGCTGCTTGCCCGCACTAATCCAAAAGAAGTGGTAGGTAGGATCCAGCCTTGGTAGGACCTTAATGCCAGTCTGCCGATTTGGTATTTTTTTTAGCGTAGAAAGCTTCTTGAACAGCCCTGTACCTTAGGAACATCTCTTTGGCAGCTGCGTGGAGTATGCCTTGGGAGAGGTAGGGAAGCCAAGTAGGAGGCTATTGTCATAGTCTAAGAGTTAGGTGATAAGGACCTAGAATACTGGTTACTGCATGAGGAGAGAAAAGCAGTTGGTTGTGAGGGACATTGGGATAGAATCAACCTTTTGTCAACTTACTGTATGTGGGGGATGAAGGAGAAAAAAAGAGGCAAGAATGTTCATTTGGGTGAATAAGTTCTGGAATTAGAACCTTCTCATCTGCTTGCTCTGTGCCTCAGTTTCCCATTCAAAGAAGCCTACCTACTTCTTATCCAGGGCTAATACTCTCCTTCAGATCTAGTCAACCCAGGAAGCCAGGCTGGAGGGAAAGAGCAAAGCATCCAGGGGTTCTCAATCACAGATATTAGACTCCCCAGTACTGTCACTCTTCCCCCATCCTTCACCCCTTTCTGTTGTCCTTGATATCTCTGCATGGGACCCAACATTGCCCCAGTGAGTGCCCCCCATTGTTATAAACACACAGGTAATTCATTCTCCAGAGCCCTTACTCTTTGAACATGGGCCTCCAAAGTATAAGTTAATAACAGTAATAGCTAGCATTTATGTAGTGCCTTAAGATTTGCAAAGTTCTTATTTATCAGATAAAATTTAAAGTTATTTATGGGAGAGAAGACAGAAATATACACATTTGTGTGCATACTTCTGTATTTGTGCACACACGTATGTATGCATTGTATATGTATTATATATGCATAGATGTATAGCTATCTACATGTTGAAGTATATGAATAGAAATCGAATGGTATCTTTGAGACGTTGCTTGCTCGCCCTTCTGGTCCTAGAGTTCTAGAAAGTTCTTAGAGGCAACAGAATGAAATTATCTCCAATCTGGTCCCTCCCCACCCCATGGATGCTCCTCCCTTCCTTGTGTTCAACCTGTCTCCTTGGAGTATGGCTCAGGCGGAGGTTGGCCCAGTGCCCAAACCTGGTGTACAAGGGAGGGAGGCTGCTCAGGCAGCAGTACTGCTGGTGATCAGAGCAGAACTCTCCACACCATCCATGGTGTTCTCATGGCTATCCTCATGGCTCCCTGTGAGCCTCCCAAGGCTGTGGTTGTGTCCAACTGCTCTGGTCCTGGCCCTGGGTCTTCTCCAGCTGACCCAGCTGCTGGCCAGGAGGCAGAAACTGCTCCGAGCTCTGGACAGCTTCCCTGGGCCACCTATACATTGGCTTTTTGGGCTTGCCAAAGAGGTACGGTTGGGCCCTTAGCCAGGGGCAGGGGTGAGCACAAAGGAAGAGGGAGGGAAAACAGAGGAGAGTTTGAAGAAGAGAGTCTGGGGATGAAGAAGAAGAAGGAGGTTGTTAGTGAAGGGAGGAGACCACTGCTGTTCTGGCTTTGGGGCAGGTAAGGAAGCAATGCAGCATCAATTTGGGACAGGAGAAAGACACAGGGGAGATGGAGAAGATGAGGAGAGAGACGGGTGGAGTGTGATGCAGAATCACCGAACCTTAGATTTGGAAAGGGAGTTCAAAGGTCATTTTGTCTGATTTAGGGGAGAATCTTCTCTCTGACAACCCCAGCAAGTGGTTAAGCACTCTGGAAACCCTCACTAACTCCATGAAGCCACCCACAACATGTTTGGACAGCTCCATAATTAGGAAGCTTTCCCTAAGAATAACAGAAATTGATTTCTTCCATTTCCACACATTGTTCCTTGTTCTACAGTCAGGCAGAGAGAAGGAAAGAGAGGGGAAAACTGAGAGAGGAAAAGGGGGAGGAAGATGGATGGGAAGAAAGAGGCAGAGGAAGAAGGAGGTAGAGACAGTGAGCATAACAGGTTCCCTACTCACTGGCTCTTTGGTTATGCCAAAGAGAGAGGGCCAAGATAGGGTGGGGGAGAGGCAGAAAGGGAGACAAAAGGATGGGTATGGGGAGGAAGAAGGGAAAAGAATAATCCTGAGCAGAATATAGAGGAAGAAGGGGGAAAGGAGGGAAGAGAAAGAAGAAATAGAGGAGAGGGAGGCAAGAGAAGTAAGGGCATACTTCAACCCAATATTCCCTTCCCTGAGGATAACTTCATTCCACTTCCTTCCCTGTGTCTTTCTTGTTGTCTCCCTCCTACAATCTTCTCTCCTATAAAGCACAGGTCAAAATCTACCTTCCCTGGCAAGGATCTTAGAGTTAGACCCAGAGGGGATCTTGGCTATCTACTAGGTCAACACCCTCATTTCACAAATGGGGAAAGTGAGGCTCAGAAAGTGTAAGTTATTGGCCCAAGGGTACAGTGGTGGTAAGTAGCTGAGCTAGGATTTGAAACCTAGATCCTTTGACTCAAAATCTAATTCCCTTTCCACTGTGCCTAGCATTTTCCGTCCGGCTCTGATCATTCTTTTATTTATGATTACTCAGCCAGTGGACTCAATTTGTTTCTGCTGCTTAGTCATTTCAGTCATGTCCAACTCTTCATGACCCTGTCTGGGGTTTTCTTGGCAAAGATACTGGAGTGGTTTACCATTTCCTTCTCCAGCTCATCTTACAAACGAGGAAACAGAGGTAAATGGGGTTAAGTGACTTGCCCAGGATCTCATAGCTAGTAAATTTCTGAGGCTGGATTTGAACTCAGGTCTTCCTGACTCCAGGCCTAGCCTTCTATCCACTGCACCACCTATCTGGATTCAATTTACACTAGATTACTTTGTATGTGTTTTGCTGCTTAATGACAGGGATTGATGCTCTCTGTGTGTGACACATATGACTCCTCAGGCTATGAATTCCCTGAGTGCTGAACCCTCTTCTCTCATCACAAACTGGAACCCTCCCCTCAAATACTCAGAAATGACCTTCTAACTCACAAGGTCATGATATTATGGAAGACAATTTTCTTGAAAGGTGGAAATAAAAAAAGTTCATTGGATGAATCTTCAGTGTAAACCCCATGTTCATTCCATTCCCAATTCCCAGAGGTCCCACTGGTCTTATCTTTACCCCTTGATCTCCAAAGAAGACCAAAGATAATGAACAATTAGTCTCTCTTTCTGGCTTTTGCCTGGTGTAATGAAATGAATGTTGACTTCAGAGTGAGAAGAACTGGGCTTAAACTTGAGTTATCAAACTCTCTGAAGAAGAAAAAAGCACTGAAGATGATCTGGGGGGTTCAAACCTGGGTGGCCAGAGGGTGGTGATGCTCTCATCAGAAATAGGAAGGTTAGGAATAAGGGGGTTTTTTTGGGGGGGGTAGCAGGAATAATGAATGAGTTCTAGTTCTTATATATTGAGTTTGCAATGTCTGCTGGATGTCCTGTTTGAAATATCCAAAGGTCAGTTGGAGATATGAGACCCTGGGCCTCAGAGACGGGATTATCAATCAATCAATGTTTATTGAGCACCTATGTGCCACACATTTTGCTAAGCATTTGGATTATATAAATGTATATAAAATTGGGAATCATCTGAGTAGAGATGATAATTAAACCCATGAGATCTGAGAAAATCACCAAGAAAGCCGCTGGTGATGAGATCATGAGCTGTTTCTTTGGTGGTACCTCCCTGGGTTTGAAAGAACAGCCATCCCTTCTGTGCAGCTTCTCATCCAGGCATCTAACAGCATCCAGGCCTGTTGGGTACCGTTTCTCTTTACATCACCCCACCTCCCTATGTCACACAAGCCCTCATGCTGGTACCACTCTGAGAAGTGTGCAGTGAACAGAAAGAGGAGAACACATGAGAGAAAAGGAGGAGGAGGAGGAGGAAGAAGAAGAGGAGGAGCTGGAAAAATGAAATTGAAAAAGATGAGAGGGAGTTGAAGGGAATATTCTGAGATTGAGATGCTAGTGGCCATCTATGTGGAGAAGTCTAACGGACAGTTAGGAATTTAAGACTAGACATTAGGGGAGCTCAAATTTACACTCAGGACCTGCCTTGAAGTGACAATTGAAGTCATGGGAGTGAATGAGACTTAAAAGGAAGAAAATAGAGAATCATCATATTGTGTGATAATCACCACAACCTCAGAAGGGTTGCCCCATCCTTATTCTGTACTGGCACAATTTATTTTTATATCAAATTGTGGGACTTTTCATTTGCCTGTTAAGGTTCCTCTTGTTGGCTTCAGTCTATATTTCCACGTTATTGAGTACTTTTAGCATACTAGCATTTCTTTTCTTTTTTTAATTTTTAATTAATTTATTTTTAATTATCAACAATCACTCCCATAGGCTTTTGAGTTTTTAATTTTTCTCCCCCTTCCTCCCCACCTTCCGCCCCAAGATGGTGTGCAATCTGATATAGGCTATACATATACATTCCTATTAAACATATTTTCACATTAGTGGTGTTGTAGGTAAGAATTAGAACCAATAGGAGGAACCACCAGAAAAAGGAAACAAAACACAACAGAAGAAAAAAATAGCAAATTATACTAGCATTTCTTTCACCTAAGCTTCTGGCTATGTGCAAATTTAATCACCATGCTATCTATAACTTTATTCAAGTCATTGATAAAAATATCAGCTATTACATCACAAAGGACAGAGTCCAACAGAAACCTCCTTCTAGACTGACACTCAAGTCCATTTATTGAACCAGTTCAAAATCCACCTAACACCTAGCCCACATTTCCTCACACTCACAAGGAAGAGGAACTTTGTCAAATGCCTTGTTGACGCCCAGGTAGATTTGGCTACACTGCTTCTTGGATTTGTGAGTTTGGTAACTCTGCCAAGAGTTCTTCTTGAAGCCCTGTTCACTCCCAGCAGACACCTCTGCCTCTTCTAAGTGTTCAGTGCTCCTCCCTCTAGAATTGTGCCAGAAATTGAAGCCAAGTTTACTATCTGAGGAATCTATCTTCCCTTTTTGGAAAATTAATGCAGTGGCTTATCTTAATCCAGCAGGAGTTCTGCCCTTCTGCATGACTTTTCAAAGATCCTGGATGGTCATTCAGTACTGAATTTGGAATCAAGGAACTTAATAATAACAGCTGACATTTATATAAGGCTTTATGGTTCACAAACCACTTCGCAAATGCTGTCTCATTTGATCTTCACAATAATACTGTGAGGTAGGTGTTATTATTATTCCCCTTTTTACAGATGTGAAGAAATTGAGGCAGATGGAGGTTAAGTGACTTGCCAAGGGTCACACAGCTAGTAAGCATTTGGGGCTGGATTTGAACTCAAGTCTTCCTAACTCCAAGTCTAGAGCTAGATTCATAGTACATCTAGCTTACTTGTGTGTTTAGATTCAGCAATTACCAGTCATGTGAGGGAAGTTGCTTTACTCTTCTGGATTTGTACTTGTGGAAAGGAATGATTACGAAGAAATTGGTGGCGCTTATAGGCACTTTAGGGTTTATAGAACACTTTATATATAATATTTCGTTGGAATATCACAACAGCCTCGTGAGATAGGGGCTAGCAGTAGGATTAGCCTCATTATGCAGATGAGGAAAAAAATGAAATGACTTGCCCATGTTGACACAGCTAGTTAGTGTCTTCCTGACTTCGTGTCCAGCACATCTTCTGCTCTGCTATGCTATCTCTTAAAAAACAGGCATAGCGACATTGTCATTATCCTCCTCATTGATCTGCAGTGAAGAAAGCTCTTTGTAAACTTCAGCATGCTAAAGGAATATGAATTATCATTATTATTAGTAGTAGTAGTAGCAGTAGTATAAACCAAGTGCACAATGGGTTTAGCCCTGAATTATATCCACCGAGGCTGACTCAGAAGCCACTAGCAATCTGAGTTTGGTTTTTCCTTCATGAGCTGGGTCACCCTAAACTCTAATGAAGGGGAGCAAAAGCAGAAGCTCTTTCCTCCAGAAAGAGACCTCACCCAAACTGGATCCTGTTTATGCCTTAGAAAGAAGTCATATTTTCCAGTTAGGTGAGGTCCTGCCTAGATGGCTTGAGCAGAATGCCTAGAGAAAGTTAAAATGCCTATGACATTCTCCAGCCAGGCAGGTGCCTCTTTCCAAGCTAGTGTTTTGACAGAGAAGGGAATATTACAAATTATTATTAGTAATCCAATGACACAACATTAAACTTAATTTCTCTCAGAGTGGTGGCCATGGAAGGGAATTTTTGTTTGGAAAGTCACAGGGATTATGACTGGAGTCACAGGACAATTAGTTGAAACATCCTTTCCAGGAATCACAGTGTTGGCTTAATTAATATTCCCAGAGATAGAGAAGAAATGTGTATTGGGAATGGGTGAGGGGAGAAGAATCAGAGAGCAGTGTGCTAAGATGGTC